TAGAAGGACTCCGAATCGGGGGAGAGTTGGAGCTTCACTATTCCCTGGTTGCTCAGCAGGTGGTACTTGCAGCTGTGGGGCAAATCATGGCCAGGTTTAGGACCATCTATTCCAGCTGGTCCGTAGAAGATTGGCGGCGGTGATGCATTCGACTTTATACCTTTTCCCTGAAGCAAACGGGTTTGGCGCCTACAAGATAAACATTAGGTTAATTTCATATTTAATTTAATAATTTATTTTATGATATGCAGTAGGATTCAATTTAAGATTGTTAAATTATTCTTATTATTAATGAAACAGTCCTATTGGACTTTCAAAAATAAATAAAAGAACGATAAGGTGAGAAAAGTTACGTACATTTTTGGTTTGTTTTTATCAAACAGAATTCTTTGAAAATTATTTTGTTATATTTACTTATTTCTTTATCTTCAAAGTTATGCTAATATTAGATTAAAAGCGTTCTTGATAACAAAAAAATAAGAAACAATGCTTTTTATGCCGCATAAGCAAAAAACTTTACATTCATTATTTTAAAAAAATATTGTTACTTACTTTATAACCTTTCCAAGACTATTTACTTCAATCTGTGTCGATCTGACCTGAAGAGCAGTGGAGGTCAAAAGAGTGGCCAAGGCATCCAGACGATCCGATAGACTCAAATCAGATTCATTGAATAAACGAGTTCCCGTTTGGGGATACTGATCCTGAGGAACATCACGAACAGTCCGAGATAAATCTGTTGGAAATATTTTATATTATTAAAAACTATGATTAAAACATATAACTTATAAGATATTTAAACAACCAGAGAGACAAAAACACAACATCAATATCTAAATTGCTAATAGGTTACCGTTCATCTTTAAGCGATTGATTAGCTTGTGTTTTAGCTCCCTAACAGGCCGAGAACCGAAAACTTTATCGGTTTCACCTTTAAGCTCATCCAAAGTATTCCTCGAAAGTCGCTGGATGTGCTCAAAACTGTCTAATCGCTGCTTGAAGTCCAGTTGCTGGGCCTTCATAGATTCCATTTTCGCTGAGCTGCTTGCCACCAGTTGATCCAATCTGCAAAAATAATGTATATGTTTATATATATACTCAATAAATAAGAAATAATCAAAGAGCTTTTTTTTCTATAAGAATGCCCCAATTAAATGCGTCTCTTGGGTCCAGTAGCTGATAAAGCTTTACGAGATTTGTTAATATATTTTTTTGCTCTGCTCCTTATAAAAAGTGAATTTGCCATTTGCAGTTTTTTTATTAGCAGACGATCTAACAAAAATTAGCGATTGGCAGCAACAAAGAAAGTGATATGTTAACTAAACAATCAGAACGATGAGAACCAATGTATAAACACTCGCCGGATGCGTGTGAAAATCAGCAGGGAAGTTCTGCGAACCCATAACAATAAATTTGACCCAAAAAAGATAAGCAGGTGGTACTCAACGATTACATCATTCAAAGAAATATAATTAAAAGACTGGCTCTTCGAGCATAATTGCACACTGAATTCTTTTGCCAAAAAAACAGCAGTGTCACAGAAAAAGTTGCTAAAAGAATTTGCCAGACGCTGTTTTGTTTTACCGGTTTCAGCCAAAAATATTTCTTATGATATGTCTATGTTAAACCAGTTTCTCTCACTTCTGATCGATCACTTCCAGGCGATGGCGCTGGTCCTCGTCCAAGGTCACCAAGATCCCAACGCGATCGTGCAGATTGGTCATCATATCCCGGTAGTCGCATTTCGGAGGACTTGTGGGGCTCGTATAACTCTGCAGATTGGCGAAACAAAACAGGGAGACGATTCATTAAAGGCAAACACGAGGCCAGCGCATTGAACTTGTTCTGGCCTGGCCAAAACGAAACCTGATGGCCAAAAGTCGGGCGACGAGTCACCAAGCTTGAAATTCACATTACAGTAGACGATCGAAAGAGCAACCATCTCATTATGCTAAATGGGTTTTGGCATTTCGAGCAAAGGTATCATTTATTTTATATTTTTCTACCCATTTTTGATGTTTTGTAGGTCACTTAAACAAACACTTGTGCAAAGCTTTTGGCTTTGTGTATTTCAAATGCAGTCTATTTTGTCGTTTTTAACATTGGCTATTTATAGCTTTTTTTCTTTCATCATTTTCAGCATTTAATATTGCTGTATCTTCAGACTTTTTTTTATTACTTTTTAAATAACAAACAAACAATTCTGAATTAAATATGAAATATTTTTATTGCTGTGTTGTTTAAATGCATTATATTTTGTCGTTTTAAACATTGCTTATTTATCGCTTTTTTCCTTTATCACTTTCCGCGTTAATCTTCGGTATTTTGTTTAAATAAATAACAAACATTTTTGAATTAAATTTGAAATTCTTTTTTTATTCGAGTTGTGTATTTCAAATGCACTCTACTTAATGGTTTTCAACTTTTGTTCGTTTGTTTTTTGCTTATAGCTTTTTTTTCTTAATCTGTCGACTGTAGACTTTTATTTATCACTTGGTAAATAATAAACAAATAATTCATTGTTAAATGGGAAATTCTTTTTTTATTCGTTATGCATTCAAAACGACGAAATTTTAATCATTAATTTCGATGACCTTTGTTATTTATTATGTTTTTCGTATTTGTTTTTTCTTTCGCCTTGAAAACTCTAGTGGTAATTAGTCTTTCGATCGTCTGCCATTTTTTGTATCACTGTAACGCACTCGGAAGTTGTTGGGCATGCGCGACCGTGTTTGGTTGAGTCGACGGTTATGAGGTGGGGGCGGTGGGCCCTCAGTTACTGCGGGAGCTTCTACCACAGAACCTGAGCCAAAACCGCAGATCACCGCCAGCACCATGACGATGGCCATCGCCACTAATTGGGACCTCATCATGTCACTCTGTTTACGCTTCACTCCAAACAAACAAAACACCGAAAATCATTCGAGAATTTGACACCTATCTTAATATTCACGCAAGATCTGTTCAAAACTGGTGACCTATACGTCCGTTCCAGTTGATGTTCGCGAAGAAACTGAGTGTATTTCAAGATCCATTCGATAATCGCAGCTCTTCGAGTGGAGAAGCTTTTCTCGCAGAAGAGCTTTTTCATGAGATGCTCGAAGACTGCTCGTTTTTTATAGAGGGTTCGTCGTTGTTTATACATCTGTCTAGAAGACTGGGTAAAATCCCCCCGGTCTTTTGGCCTTTTTGGGTTGTCAATCATTCGGGCAACTGCTTAACACGCCGATCATGCCAAAACGATTCGCAACTCGGCTTGTAGAGAACTATAAACACGAGCTGAGAATTATTAATTGACTATGCAAAAACAAGTGGGGATGGAACTAAGAACTACTAGTCTTGAGCTCAACTTTACTCTTTAGTTCTGGTATCACTTTAATGCTAATTAATTAGGATGAGATTAACATTTGCAACAGGTAAGGTAATATTTCATAATTAACAATTATTATTAGCTCGATTAGCATCACTTCTATTAAAATTTAATGCTATTAAAGATATTTATTAAGCAGCACTAAGTAGACAACAAATTACTGACTTGAATATGAGCACCTACCTACTATTCGCAATTACATAAATTAATTAGTTAGGAATTAACTATCAGATTTTACTATATTATATAAAATAAATATTATATGCAAATTAAGTTTGGAAAAAAAAGATTTGACAAGAGAAAAAGTTTCTGTTTATTATCGGAGGGTTTTCAAGAACTTGTAGTCACCATAGCTAAAACTTTATGCAATTCTTTAGATAATTTCAAAATGCGTAAAATTCTTTACTGGCAGTAAACCTACTTTGCAGGAGCTTCTCGTCTTAAGTCATCGATGATAATTGCTAGATAACTGAATGCAACTGAAGCTAAAGCTACGGATATTCATACCTCACCTTCAAAGTTGCTTACGTAGTTTGCATGACAATAATATGCAAAACGTATTCATTGAGTATGCCTACCTCAACTTGCCGTCATTACCATATATTGAACTACATGTAATAGGAAAGGGCATACCGTAGTAATCAATGAGTAATCAGGTGTTGGGGAATAGACTTTAAGCACTCAAGACATCGGCCTCTGTGATTTTCCCAATACGATGACATTATATTTATAGATTTATATGCGTTTTTGATTTATACGGATTTTGGCCTTAGCCGTCATCGGGTGGAAATAATGAAAGACTCACGACGAGCAGAATAAATATAGATGCAATTGCATTTTTCAATCGACTTTACAACTTGTTCACGAGCTTACCTTTGATTTTCCGTTGTTCCGCTTATGTCACATGTAATTGTTTAGCTCAATTACAATGGTGATGGGTTTTGTGGATTTCTGAAGGTTTACAGCTGCATTGGACCTCGGAAACCTTTTCAGATGGCCAGCTGCAAATACTTCGTGCCGCGATGAGATGCTCGCCTGCAGATACCAAAAGTCAGGCCCAAACCGAAGCTCATCCACCTCTATTTGTGGCCAAGATGAATTGCCGGGTTGATGACGCAATCTGCTGGGTGGCAAAAAAGCCGATTGAGAGAAAAAGTTTCTTAACATCATGTATATTGTGTTTGCCATTTGCCAGTGCCCGAAAAAAAAGAGTTGTGTCATTTACATAATTAATGCTTTTGGGTCCCATGGATGCCACCCATTTTCCTCCTCCGTCATCATTTCCTCCGACTTGTCATCCTCTTGAATTATTTCAATTGCCTGAATTGGGGATGAGTTAATTTTAAAGCATGCCAACATTTCGAGCAATCAACAATGATATAGCTATATTGTTATTTATGAAAAGAGGACTGCCCATTAATCAATCGAAAAGTTCTTGGAATGAAACACACTATTCAATACTTTTCATTGGCCTTGGCCGCTTTTTATTTAATATTAAATTATTGTACAGGTTGAACTTATTCAAATTGTATTTAGTTGCCATCCATTTGTTAAATTATAAACATTCAATATTTTTTCCATTTCAAATACACCCATCTTCTGTCTGTTACTCATTCCGAATATTGTTTTGTTCGTCTTTCGCTACTTAGAAATCAACTACAAATATTTACAAAATTCATCGTTCATCTGGTTTTTTTTTTTGGGGCTTTTAAGGGCGCTTCACCCACTTTTCGTTTAACTATACAAAAATGCTTACGAGGTAAACATAAAAATTGCATGCTCCATCTAAACTATCGCCTAACTGCATCGAGAGTTCGTAATTTGTGTTAATAGATTTATTTTGTTTTTAACAAAGGTACATTAAATATTTACGACAAATTCAATGCATTAAAAATATTTAAGTTTCATATCGTTCCAGCCCTCCATTAAAGTGTTTTTCTTTTACCTTTCGTTCCCCAGGGTTCCGAGGGAGGGATTACCCTGCCGCTTAGCTAATATATATATAGAATACGTTCCGCTAAAAACATTCTTAGTTTATTTACTCGTTTCGATTACGTTAGGGATTAGCTTAGTTTTCTCCAATATCTTTTGTTTGCTTTGCTCTTCTCTCGAATGTTGTGCAAAATAATCAATTAGATTTGTTTTATTTTGGAAAATGCCTCGAAAAATCATTTCAGCTTGTATCTGATAAAATTGCATTTAACGGAAACGCAAACGAAAACGAAAACCAGTTCAATCTTCGCTAATTTCGTTCGATTCGATTCGATTTGTTCCATTGGCTCATTGGCTTATAAACTATGGACGTAACCTTCGGGATGGGAAAAGTGCAAAAGTGCGTTGCCATGCTTCGTTACCTTTTGTTTCGCGATCCTATACTTAATTGGGTAAAATTCGCAGAAAACTGAAAATACTTTGGAGAATGTGTAAACATCCTCCTTGCTAAATTTTGAGTGCGTGCAAAATTTTGTTTCGGTTTAATGTACTTTTTATCTTGGCTAGCAAATAATTCTAAACAATTTCGCTGGTTCAGCTTCTACATTTTGCTTCTCTAAAGTGCCTAATTCTTTATCTTTATTAAGAGTTTTGTTTACTTCTTGTTGTGCTTACCTTGAAGCAGTGTGTATTTTAGTGTGTGTGTTTTTCTTTTTTGCATACTTTTTTCATAAATCACAGAAAAAGTTTATTCATTTGAAATATTTGGTTTTGGTTTTGCCTTTGTTTAAATTTGACCTTTACCCTTTGCTACAAAATATAATCTGGTTGTAGAACGCTATTAAAACGTGGCCCTAATCGAGTTATTTTGGATTACCAACTAACTTTAAGGGCTTGATATCTCCTTAGAATCGTGTCTTAATCAGAGAATCTTAGCAATTTGATTGCCTACAACTCAAATTGGCTCGTCGCTCTCATAGATTTATACGATATTCATAATATATTTTGTTCTACGCTTTAGTTTGCTCTACTCAAATCGTTTTTGATTCATTTACTTGTTTCAAAACCATGTCAAGTGTCTTTGATTTCAATTTGCACATTTGTTAGCTCTCATTTGAACTTCTCTTGAATGTTTGTGGAACCCGGAGATGGCGGGCGTCCTCTCGTTTTGGCCAAATACGTTACGTTTCTTAGATTATGGAAATGGATTGGGCTTGGTTTCGATTCTTCTCGCTACGAACTCTATGTAAAATACTTGGTTAGGTTACTTTAGTGTTTAGTTGATGGCTATTTTATCTCGAATTTACTTTTGGTTGATTGCTAAAAATTTGATTCTACTATTTTGCGTTCTTTGCTAGTTTAATTGTTTATCTATTCGCTTAAGTTTGCATCGAAAATGTTATGATTTATGATCCGCCAGCCTCCCTCCCGACCTTCTTTTTTTCTTTTGACTAAATGTTTCTAGGAATTTAATCATCATCCACGCGGCAGCAAATCACTGTGAAAACAACTGAAAATTTAAATAATAAACATAGGAAACATAAATGGTATAAATGGTTTAAATTTATTTGTTTTACATATCTTTTAAGATTGATTTACTTGCTTTTTACATAAATTCATTTAATAGGTATAAAATTATCACTTAAACAGCGCGGTGAATTTTATGTATTTCATAATGACAAAGGAAGCGTTACAAAATCATACAAATCATACAGTTAAAAGAGCCGTGAGCGGAAATAAACACTATAAAAATAATTTTGATTCCTTGAACGTTGACTGTGCATCTCTGAATTTGAAAATATAATATAATTTTAAATTTGTATAATTGCTTGAAAATAATCGTACGTTTTTTGAGCACTTTTTGTTGATTAATTGATTCATTTTTTTTAGGCGCATTACCGCCAATCCATTAATTTGTATTAATTGCACTCTATTAAAGCAGTTAACCAATCGAACATTTTTATTGGCAATTTAAATACACACTCGTCAGCCGAACATTCGCGTTGAAAATATCGACTAAAACTAAAGAAAAAGAATGGACACGAAATACACACGATTGCTATTATATAATGCAGACATGATGATGATTATCTCTCACTCGTTGCAAACGAAAATATTGCGTAATCCGCAGAGGCAATCCACTCACTAAAAGCTACCTTTAAATGTTAAATTTTTTTTAGCTTAAAAAAGAATACAGAAAAACATGTCTGCGCTTTGACTAAACTGAGTATCCTTTTCGACGCGGCTGCAGGATGGCGAGAAATCTAAACTAACTTTAAGCAATTTGACTGAAAATAAAATGCCGCCGTTATAGGTTCTGTGTGTCTTCTGCTAAACTCCCTCGGCTAAACTCACTGCGAAATCGAACTAATAACTAAAAAGTATCATAGAATTATAGTACAAAACTTCTGCGCGCGCGAGAAGTTCCTTCTGCTGCTTCTTGCATTATATATGGCTGTCGATTGCTGGATGATGCGATATAGATTGATTGATTGATTGACAGATTGAGGGTCCAGGAGGATGGTGTGATTGGGTGATTGGTGTTGAGGACTGGGATCCTAACAGTAGAAACGTACGCCATCCACGGAGAGGACTTGCTTTAATTTTCATTTATTCTGTCGATTTGGCTCCGTATAAAGCTGCACGCCTTCCACGGTGAAAATTGAGGTTTCTGAAAGAGAGATAGACATTCGTAATTAGTAAAAAAAATTAAAATAATATTTGTGTAATTAAAAAGTTTGAGTTATGACAACAAGCTGGACTCTGACCATGACATAATTTAATTTACGGCCATCGACGAGCGAGCGACAATTAAAATCGCCATTGGCGAAATTACATTTTCCAGCCACACATGATACACTCATACAGTTGCCAGGCACCCTAACCACTCACAAAGTTCACACGAATGTGTACAGTAAGCCCTCTAATAAGTAAACATCTGAGCAGTGAATTTTTCTAAGAACTAGTACGAATAAATTGTGGAAAAAAATGTTTAAAAGTGTATATAGCCCCCAAGAGAAGTATTTATCTGGGGGATACATTTGGTTAATTCCTTAAGATACATTCATTTCTATTCAGTTTTGTTAACCAATCCCTACTGTATAAGCCCAGTGTGTACGCCGGCCTAAACCGCAAAACCTCATGCGGGGTGTGATGACCTTTTCCTGGCCATGATAAATGAAGCGCATTAGTTGCGTTTTAATTGATTCTATCTGTCCACGCTGCGTATACGCAATGTTACATGGGCAAATGCCAGGGAAAATACCAGGAAAATCCGCACCCTTTCGTAATGAGCTAGGTTTTCAGTTTTTCACAGCGACTGTGATTTAGCCAGAAATTAGCATGGCACTCCTATCTGGATTTCTGTGTGTAGAGAAAAAAAATAGAACCAGTTTTGTGTAAACAAATCACGCGTTAATCGCATTTTAAGCACACTTTAAGCTGCCCTCGATTAAGTGCAAGTCCTGCAAGGGGAATTTGCACTTCATTCATTTATATTCGGTTTTCCCACTGCATTCTCGAGTGGCTTTTGTGCCCCTCTATATGTATATATATGTATTTTTAAAACCCCTTTCTATTGCAGTTTCCTATTTTTTCCCCCAAATCGCCCTGCATTGCATTTGCCAAATTGCATAGTCCACAACTAGATGCTGGTTTGTGGGGGCTGACCCTTAAATTTCCTTTTTTCGGAAATGTTTCCATTTACCGAGTAGCATCCGATAGGAGGTCTTCTGCTAATGAATGCAGGCCCTCAGGAAAAACGGAAGTTAGTATGCATTTTATTTACTCGAAAATGCAGGGAAGCTGCAGTTGAATTGGTAAGGATAATTGGTTATAGATACACAGATTAGAATAATAGGGTATTTTTATCTGTAATTTATAACGATTTTCATGGATAAAATGCATACCTATGTCATGAAATTTGTAGAATAAGGTATTATAATAGTTGTAGAACAAAATAATAAAGTTTATGGTTATTAAAAATTGTCTTTATTTTCTATAAGTGCATAGTAGATTGGTTTCAGATTGTAAAGCGGACCATTATTTACTTTCGGATGTTCACTTATCGCAATCTAATTAGTGTACCAACTTGATTTTCTGTCTGTAGCCCTGTATTTGTCCAACAAGTTTGTCCTTTGCATTCGGTATTTATTTTGCCCAACTTGTTGCAAACTTTTGCCACCACTTGAAATACAAATTAAAACTGGCAAATGCAATTACTGTTAACTACACCGCGGAAACACTCGCTAAGCAGGCCCCTCAGCCAAAGAAAAACTGCTCGAAAGGCAAACAAATTGTCGTGAAACTTAAATGAGTTGTCCTGCACAAAGAATGGTCTACGCCGGCTACCTTCACCGGAATTTTTCCCTGACTTTCTGCCAACTTTGAGCAAATGTTTCATCCTTTTTTTTGCTCTTTTCTTTATATATATATAGAGCTTTGTTAATTGGTTTTCTTTCCGGCATCACACAGACAATGGCCGAAAAAGTTGTGGGGCTGTAAATGTTTAATGCACTAATTCAATTTTCCAGGACTCACCGTCTGGCAATTCGTAGAGTTTCTTTGGCAACTGCGCAAAGTACGGATGCTGCAGTGCATCATCGGCGCCCAAACGCTGCTCCGGATTCAGTTGCAGGAAGCCGTTCGCTATCGTCTCGCCCTCGATGATGTCGTACAGCCGTGGGAAGTTGTGACCCAGTTTCCGTGGTCGATAGAAACCTAAAAGGTAGCCAATGGTAACACAAAAATTAGCTTTCATCTCCTGGTTTCTTTTATTTTCAAAAGCCCCACCATGGCCAATTACTTACCCAGCTTGTGCGGCTTGTAGCCGGGAAAGTGGGTGACCCCCGCCCACGTGTCCTCGGTGGGCGTGCCCAGCAATTTGAATATCTTGTCCAGCTGATCGTAGGTATCACGTATCCCCGGAAACGTCGGCATCCCGGTCACCATCTCCACGAAGATGCAGCCCACGCCCCACATGTCCAGCGAGGTCGAGTACTCGGTGCTGCCCAGCAGGACATCTGAAATGGTCACGAACTCTCCGGTAAGTAAATGCACTCTAAAGTTCCTCTGTTTTGTTGCAAAATAAATTGCCATTTTAAATAAATAAGGGGTAGGAGAGAGAGTTTAAAGTGGAACACCAGGAAGTCCAGGAAGAGATAGCCCTGCACTTCCTGTGCACCTTTGAGTTTATCTTTGCTGCCGCTTTTTGGCCAGCAGCTAACAAAGTTTAGTCCTCCCACAGGCACACACGAAATTTCGGAATAGGGTTCTATGTAGTTTTGTTTAAATAAAAGGAGTTAAAGTGACCTAGATCTTTTAGAAACCTATTAAAGTTGCTTAAAAAGAAGATCAAACATAACTAAATAATGTATAAATACCTACAGCAAGTTCAGGAATTTTTGTAACAATAAGCCCATATACGGCTCAACTTTGATAAATATTTTCCGAGGCAATAAAATGATCTATTTAAGTTTAATTTAAAATATAAAGTAATTAAACATAAGATATACAGACACACCCAAAAACTGTATAGTTACCTACCACAAATTCAACAATTTTCAGAGCAATATTCCCAATTAAGTTTTGATGAATATATTCTGGGGTTATTAAATTAGCTTGTTTAGAGTCATTTCATAATGGATGCAAATAATAATCAATTATAGAATACCGTAGTGAAAATTGTATATAAAATGTTTTACAACCCAAATTTATAAAATTAGATTTAAAAAAGACTTCATAAATTATAATTGGTTTTTAAGCATTTTTAAAATATTGTAACTTTAAGAACTTCCTTTAAGAACTGTATCTTAATTAATATTACCTTAATGTCTATTGTAGGTATACCTAACTTATCTAAAATGTTTCTTTAAAAGTATCTACATATGCAGCTGTTTGCCTCCCACACAGCTTTTTCGGGCAGGTGGCGACAGGTGTCCATGGCAACCACATCCGCATCCCCCTCCGCATTCGCATCCGCTTCTTGCCCCGTTTTTTTCAAGCTTCCGCTTTTTGCCCGTCGGCGTTGTCTGCCAAGAAGTGCAGATTAAATTTGTTTAACATGCTTCCGAACTATTTCCCAGCTGACGTTGATGGCGCCCCAGGTTCAGGGGTCAGTAGTTCGGGGCGGGGAGTGCTGCCCAGGTATTCCTTAGCCCCACACAAAGTGCTTATACCCAGAGAATTGCATATTAGAAAGAAATTAACTTTATTTCCCTGTCTCTCTAGACTCCATTCGCTTCAGTTTTTCATTTAGCTGGCTCACAAATTGATGGAAAAATCTTTGCCATGCAAAATGGATTGTTTACCCATTGTCAAGGGAGGGATCTTAGTGAGGCATTTTAATTTAATCCCACCCAAGCTCCTCTGGTGAGCTAACAATTTTCAGCCTGTATGGACGCCAATTAATTGGCTTCGAGTGCACAAAACAAACGAAATAATTTAATGCGATTTTCAAATTGGTTCGACTTTGGGGCTTGGGCTAAGCTTCAAACTGCAAATTGTTTGCGCATCCCAAAAGTGATTACTAGTTTTTCGTTTTTTTTCTAGGATGGCTGTGAAAAGCTTACATGGAAAGGCTCTTAAGTGTTTAACTTTAAAGGGATTAAAAGAAAGGGAAATACAAAATTCGCATGGCAAAATTCAAGCTTCTCTAGGTTTTTTGCAATGGGAAATCAAAGTGTGATAAGAACTATTTAAAAATTTAAAATTTAAAAATTTATGTTAAATTAACACATTTAAACGGACAAAATAAATCTTCCTGGGCACTTACATTTAAATAAATATTTAAAATAAAATAGCTACATTTTCTAATAAGATACCAACTCTCTCTTCTCCCATTTCCCAGGCCAATTCCCCTTGGAAAACCCACCTGGAGGGCGGTACCATAACGTGACCACCTCGTGGGAGTAGGTGTGGCTGGGCACGCTCTTGGCCCTGGCCAGTCCAAAGTCAGCCAACTTCAGTTCGCCGCAGTCGCTGATGAGCAGGTTCTGCGGCTTGACATCCCGATGGAGGACACGCCGCTTGTGGCAGTAGGAGAGTCCACGGAGCAGCTGGAAGAGGAACAGGCGAACGTTGCGATGGTCCAGGCCGCCCGGATGCTTCTCCATGTATTGCGACAGATCCGTATTCTGCAATTGGGAGATATTAGCATGGGTTTTATTATATCAAATAAAAAACGATCGAAAGGTGTTTAAACCATCTAAGCAATTTTTTGTGGAATTTTTAAAACCATTTTCTAAAATATTTAATATTGAACTCTTAACTTTATAAACTTATGTTAAGGCTGAGAGTTGACAGACCTCTAACAAATTAACTTTCATATAATAATTGCTTACAAGAAGTTTATGTAAGGTAGAATAAAATAAGGAAAGAATATCCATTATATGAAAAATACATACAATTTTATTGGATTTATAAATACAGCTTTATATTTTATTAATTGAATGAAGAATTTCATATCTTTATTTTAAAGTTGTGAGTCAACAGACCTTTAAGAATTTAATTTTCCTTTACTTATTGCTCAAAGGAAGTCTATGTAAGGTATGTGTGCTCCCTTTTTAGGCTCTTTTAATTATAGAACCTCTATTCCTTAGATCGTTTCCACACCTTGGGTTATATCTGAGGTACTCACCACATATTCAAAGACAAAGGTCAGCGTCTCGCGCGTGTGGACGATGTCGTGCAGCGTGACGATGTTGCTGTGTTTCAGTTCTTTCAGCAGCGAGGCCTCTCGAATCGCGGTGAACGGAGCTCCCTCCTCCTCCTGCAGGCGAATCTCCTTCAGCGCCACCCGCTGGTAGGTTAATCTGTGGGCCACAAAAAAATTGGTAGTGAGTCGGGGGAATTAATAAAATAAATACTCGAGCGGGAATGTCCGGACAGGAACAACAATTGCACAGCTGCCGGCGAGGCAACAAAGAATTAGGCTCGCAATTTGTGGTAGGAGCCCACCCACAATGTCGTCCTTGCCAAAAGTCAGAATATGTGGGCTGGTGGGGCTTTGTATATTAAACAGACATAACGACCCAACACGCAGAGAAATGTACGGCAAACACTTAAATTAGGATAAGGGACAGGCCACAGGACATGGAAAAGTAGAGAGGATACAGCAGGCAAGGCAGTGATGACAGAATAGCTTCTTTTTTTTTGTCAAAAATGGTTCAGAGTGATAGGGGAAAATGTTTAAGACACCTTTAAGAACATTTCATTTTAGAAATATATATTTCAAATAAATATATCAAATATTTGATGTAGTCATTGAAAATATTTGCAATAACTTTTTCGGTGACCCCTATATCATTTTTAAAATTACAAGAATATATACCCTAATTATAATTCCGAGAACAGCTTTATTACTCTTTAACATACTTATTTATTCAAATGAAAATGTTTAAATACATAAACGTTCTGTCAAATTCCTTCCACCTAAAACACCTTATATCTTCTAAGAAATAAGCGTCAACACTTAAAAGAGGACTCAGAAAAGCACAGAGGAAAGGACACAGCGGAGGACATTTGAAGTGTCAAATTAGGCTAAATTATTTGACACTGCCGCACAGACGTTGGCAATTTATGCGGCTTTCTCGCATTGCCAAGGCAACATTCTAATTGGCAAGGCAAAAACCGCCCAAAAAAAATACATAAGAAAACCTCAACACAGAAGGAAAATCTTACCGTAAAGTAGTTGACTTTAAGGGCAGAAGCTAGAGTGAATTTACGAAAGTTTTTTTTATGGCTCAAGCCCGCCAGCATGAAGATGTCACTCGAATATGTCAAAGTGCAAGTTTTTAGGGGCTAGAATTTATCACGCCACCAGCTAATTGGGCAAGCGAGGGTTAATGATGATGATGAGGGCTCGTGGTGACTGGAACTCGAGCGTATCAATTTGTTGAGCAGCATCATAAAATGTTGCCAACCAAGTAAATATGCTCAAAATACCCTCAACTTTTTATCGCATACATAAAAATTCACAGAATTCTCCCTGTTCCGGAACAATATCTTTGAGTAGCGGCGAATTAAACCTTTTATGCCTTATCAAAATGTATTCTCAAACACACTCGGTTAATAAACCTTCATCTAGGAGCCTGAGAAAAATGCCATAAAAAGCTTATGTCCTTACCGCATCCTGAGCAATTTCCATGTAAACGAAAAACAGCTGCCAGCAAAAGGAGATTTTCCCATGAAAATTTTACACGGCAAAGAAAGGGAGTTCATTTAATGATATTAATCCTCATAATTTTAGAAAAGTTAATCCAATTTTATATTCTAAAAATGATAAATATAATATTTTATTTTTCTAAAATCTAACATTAAGAAAAAGGTTTGTTTAGTTTAAGACATTTTTTTTTGTGCCTAAGGAAAGCCTTTAAAATTCTAGATAATTTTCCAAGTGCCAAATGATGGGGGATTGTGAAGAGGATTTGCTGGCTGAGACGAAACTTTGTCTTGTTAATGTTAAAATAATACGATTTAGTTAAGCATAAACCGAATATTGAGTGTGCCATCAAAGTTAAGGAAAAGTTTTCGCAATCGAAGTTTCCGCCCGACAGATTGACGACTTTTTGTGACAGCTGACCTACTAAATGCTAATCAGCATCTTGACTTTCTGCTCGAGGGCTCTTTGCTTAAATTCTTGCCCTTTTCACAGTGTTTGCATAGGTAGGAAATAGTACGAAAATTACAGAAGAAAATACTACGGAAAATACAAAGAAAACCAGGACAAGGCAAGGGAAAACGAAAGTCAAATAGAAGTGAAATCATTCATGAAATCTTTTACAATTGACAAACGGAGAAGGATCTAGAGAGCTAGGGGGATTCGTTCAGCAGAAGGAGAAAAAAAAACAGTCCGAGAGGAAGCATAAATCTTGGAGAAGGAAAGTGACCTAAATTTCCATTTGAAAAGAAAAAAAACAGCAAGGAGTCGCAGCGAAAAGGACTCTAAACAAAGCCAGGCCCAAGAAAAGTAAAAGCCAAAAACTGAGGGGTCACATTTCCATTTGGCAGATAAATTAGAGCGAATTAATTGCATTTCGTATAAACAAAGGCTAATTGGAACTCATTTCGCATGTAAGTGCCGTCGTGCATAGCAAATGAGAAAAGGAAAGCCCGGGAAAACTAGGCGCTGTAGGGGAACAATAAAGAGGAAAGCCGGGGAAAACTCTTGGAACCAAAGAGGCTGTCAAACGAACTTTGTTCGTTTTTCACGTAATGCCCATTGTTAAGAGAAGAACTTCGAGGCAACACCAAAGCAAATGATTGTCAAATAAATCAAAAACAAAAGGGAGACACAAGATGAAGTGTGTGAGGGGGAGGTGGAGCGATGAGAAAGTGGAAAATGGGCTGGGAAAACCAGGGGGCAAGTGGCTGTGACAGGCGCAAAAAAAGGGGATTGGGTGGCATCTATCATCGGAAAAACGGGACAGGGCAAGTCCTGTCAAAAAGGTGACGAAGCTGGTTCCCCCTATCCCGTTTTCCCAGGACCATTTGTCAAAAATATGAAGGAAAGTCCCCAGAAACCCCAACTCCAAGTAGAAATCCAAACTCCTGCTCCTTAAACAACTGAAATCAGTGCCAGACGAGGCGCAAATGAGGCAGCATTTTGTAATGTGATGTTTTTGGGGCGGGGTAAATAGGAAAATAGGCTATGGAACCCAAGGAAGCCAACTCAATTGTGGGGCAAGTTTTCAGAGAAGTGCGTGCCTTGCACTGGGGGAAAATAAACAATACAAATTTAAGATAAAGTTTAAAAAACTTGATTTAAAATGAACTTCTTACAATATATTTTTGGTAGTAGTAGATAAGATTGAAAATATTTAAAGGCTAGGTGTTTTTAGGCAAAGTTCAACCTAAGTACAAGCTTTTTAAATACTGGAAAAAATATTGTTATTTGATTCATTTGACTATAAATAAGTATTTAACTACAAAATTAATAAAGTAATCACATATATTTTTACGGGCTTCGTTTGACTAAAAATTTTGATAATACTGACAAATAAGTTCCATGATTTTCTAGTTTCGGTCATGTTTTTCCTGAATTTTCCCCTAATTTATTTCAGTGTGGAGTTAGGCCAAGCCAACAATTGGGGACAAAGGAAGACAAGGAGCCGGGAGAAGGACATTCCCGCTGCTCCTGCTGCAATCTCCTCCACTTTACCCCGCCGGGTGACCCACATTGCCCCTGGAAAACCCCGCAGCACCCTTTCCTTTCCTCTGGCCGTGATTGATAGCCACATTTGCATGGCTCTCTGGTTGTAATGAGTCTGCCAACGGGGACAAAGGAATATGGTTAGGGTTTGGGTTTTGGGTTCGGGAGCCAGAAAGGAAAGCTCCGAAAAATAACTAAGGGAAAACGACGGATGCACGAGGAAAACTAGCGAATAAATCAAGGCAAAATGACGACACACATTTTTTCTAGCTCAAAAAAAGGGAAATCCATTTTGATCGGAGGGGTCCATCTCACAAAATTCAAACTGAGTGATATGCCGGCAATCATTTTTTATTTAACCCACTGACACGGCGACCCATATACATTTTTTTTTTGTGGGGCGTGGTACTCACTTGCTAAATCCTTTGTAGACCGTCGCATAGGACCCTTCGCCCAGCGGTTCGAGTTTTACATAGGCCTCCTGCTTGCCAAATGGGGAGTCGCCCTGTGGGAGAGAAAAATTACAAAAAAATGATGAAGAAAAGCGGCAAACAAATGGAGTTGAGTGAAAAATGTATCATGTTTGTTAATTAATTAAGCAAACTTAGTTTGGTGTGCGGTTCTGAGTTCGCATTACATTAGCGCGTGATGTAATCAGCGGGAATGAATAACCACTTTGGAAAGCCACATGTTTGTTTCCAGTTTGTTTTTCAATTACGCTAAAGCTTACGTTGTTTTCAGTATAGGCATATGCTGGGGAATATTTTCAGCCTGTTTAATTAATTACTTAATATGAAGTTGAGCCACAGAGTCAACAATTGTTTAAACTTTCCATTGTTTGTTATTCTTTTAAATTAGTTTGTATATTTTTTATAGGCGTTATTATTCAGCATTCATTGGGGGGATATTTTTGCCTTTTTAATTAATTACTTAATATTAAGTTGGCAGAGCAAACATTTGTTTTAAAAAGCTAATTGCCTTAATTTATTGGACTTTAGTTTAATATTTTTCAAGGCCCAAAAGTAGGCTGTACTATTTTTAACTTCGATGTCTAGTTTAATAATTGGCCGTGGAATTACTGACAGCGTCATACCAAATGGAGTTAAAATCAATAGTCATAGATAGGGATGCAAAAACATCGATGTCACTATCGATACTATCGATGTTTTTTAAAACAGCGATGTATCGATGCTTTTTTTCGAACATCGATGTTATCACTAAGAGATACACACGCAAAGCAAGTGGTACGTAAATTGGGAAAAAGTGCACATTTTTCCATTTTATTAAGTATTGTTACAGTTTGATACAGGTAAAACATATTAGGGCGGTTCCTCTCGGCACAATGGACAGGTTTCTATCATTCAAGACATCTGCACCGTTTTAGAGCCATTTGAAACGGCAACAGTGAATACGTCAGCTGCCAAAAAAGTAACGGTATCCTTAATAATACCCACAGTGCAGGGCCTTTTAATTCAAATGGATACGCTTAAGCCGCAAATGAAGACGAGTGTAGGGGCTGACACTTGCTTGTTTTTAACAAATCAGTTGAGAAGCAGACTTTACCCCTATGAATCTAGAACTGCTACGAGGATGACAACGATTCTCGATCCAAGATTTAAAAAGGAAGGATTTTACAATCCGATGAATGCAGAACAAGCAGTAGCAGCGTTGGAAAATGACTTGACTTTCGTCTTCAAAGATGTGCAGAACCAATGTCCAAATGAGGAACCGGCCGCCGAGAAAACACACCCCTCTGATTTGTACGGATTTATGGCCGAAAAAGTCAAAAATAAGCCAAGAACTTGGAGATCCGATGCAATAATCGAAATGCGGCAATATTTCGAGCAACAGAATGCGCATCAGAAAATAGATCCGCTCGAATACTGGAGGGTAAATTTTTTAATATTTTACATTTCTTCTTGAATAACCCTATTTTCTTACAGGTTAATGAAGTTCAATTCAGCAATCTTGCGCAGTGCGCGTTAAAATATTTATGTATACCTGCGACATCTACTGACTCGGAAAGGACTTTCAGCAAGGCAGGACAAATCGCGGACGAAAAGAGATCTCGACTTAAACCTAAAACTTTGAACATGCTGTTGTTTTTACAGAAAAACCAGTGGATTATTAGTTAAGATATAGATATCGATTAGATAAGTAAGATAAGTAAGAACTGAACTGAACTGAACTGAACTGAACTGAAGTGAACTGAACTGAAATAATGTGATTCCATTTTTCTTTATGATTTCGTTAAAATATGTATTAAGATTATGCTTTTTTATTTGTTTCTGAAAATATTGTTGTTGTTTTGTTTGAATAAATATAAGTTTATAATAAGTTTCATAAAAACAATATTTTAATTAATATTTGGAGGGTTTTATGGTATATATTCATAAATTGAAGAAAATTTCGATGTTTTTAGCGAAATTTCGAGGTTTTAGCAAAATTTCGATGTTTTCGCGAAATTTCGATGTTTTAGCGATATATCGATGCTTACAAACATCGATGTTGAAAACATCGATGTACTCACTATCGATGTTTTTGCATCCCTAGTCATAGATCAAAAATATACAAATCTAAGGTTTTGAAATTTTTGTTAAAAGCTAGTCTATTTAAAATTTTAAAAATCGTTTAGTGTTGGATATAAATATTCTAAGATCATGATATGCTTAAATTTGATTCCTTAATCAAATGAAATGTTATCCATTTCTTAGAATACAGCGGTTTTCCGCTTTATGGTTTAGGTAATATTTATTAATGAACGGGAACACTCAATGCCTAGACAAAGGGTCCCAACAAGACAAATTTCAAAGAGAATAAAAATTTTCAATATCATCCCAGGCTCAGCATGGTCAACTCCATGCGAAAGCGGCCAGAAGCAGTTGGGAATTATAGGGGCAGCCCAAGTGAAAAACCAGCGCACGCATAAGCATGCTATATAAAAGTAGGTAAAGTGTGTACTGGGTTGGTTTATGCACTCAAGGACCTTAGTTCTCAAGGACCATTGAATCACTGAATGCATAAAAACATAACATCTTTAAACTAGTTTTTCTGCTAGCCTATATAAACCTTAAAATCAAAGCATAATCAAGAGGAGTACTTACACCAAATGCACTGAATCGTTTGCGTCGCGGATGCGTTTCCTGCTTGTTCAGAAAGACCTCGGACTTGGGTCTGGGCGGCTTCTTGGGACGCATGACCACGTGCGAATGGTACTTCATCTCCTCGCGGATGTCCTCGTCCAGCAATTTGCTGTCGGAGGACACGGAAAGCTGTCTCTGGACGCGATCATGATGGTCGGTGCTGTCCGTGCTGCGCCAGTCTGTAAATAGTCCAAAAGAGGAGAAAACAAAGCGGAAACGGAATACTTGAGTAACAGGCCAGAACAAAGTGAGGACAGGTAAAGGTAAAGACTGCCCCAGTAAAGGCTGCAATGCAAAGGAAGAGCCGCTTAATGAGCAGTCGCCAGAGCAGCAGCAGCAGCAGTAGACCCACTTGAAAACCAAATTAGTGGCCCCGACAACAACCTACAAGTGAGTCGGAAGTGGATGGCACAGCCGCTCAAAGGACTATTTATGTACACTCGCTGAAAAAGGCTGTCTAAAATCGCGTTTACTGAGGGTTATTTAAGATGCTAGAGGTCTCGAAGTGCATCACTAAGAGGGGGATGACTTTTTACTTTAATATGGATATAACACATTTCAGTCCCAAAAATTTTTATAATATAAAACTATATAATACTATAAAAGTCACAATTGTTATTCTACAATATTTGGGGGGTTGATTTTTAACTTTAATATGGAGTTAATATATTTCAGTCCCAAAAATTGATATAATATAAAATACATAACTATAAAAGCAACATCCATTTTTCTGCAATATTTGGTGGTCTGATTTTTAACCTTAATATGGAATTAATATATTTCAGTTCCCAAGATTTTTATAACAATTATTTTTCTGCAATAGTTGGGTATTTTTTATTGTAAGGAAATAAAACAGTTTGAGAAGTCCTTCGAATTCACTAAGAACTGTCACAAAAATATGAAATACTCATCGATTTCACCTTTTTTTTTACCCATTTTCCCTCTTCGAATGCATTTTTGTCAGCGTAAGAAAATAATTGCTAGATGGACTTGGCATTTCTCATTTCCTTAATGAGCACAAAAGGAGCACAAACGAAAGATGAAAAATTCCGGCAGCCAACTCATTATGCACATCATCAATATAATGAAGGATGGAAAAAATACAGAGATCCCAGGATCTTCGGACGAAATAAATCGAGTTTGGCCAACCTTGAAATGGCCGGATTGAATGAATGCGAAATCGGGCAGTGGAAAATGTGCCATGTTTACCTCGCAGCCTCGTTATAATAAAATGTTTCAAAAGCAACCGCAGCGGCAGCTGGCGAAAGTTGGTCTAGGACAAAGTTTCTGCCCGAGGAGGTGGATCAGAACGGAACGAAACGGAACGCACAGGTGAGTTCCAGGTGCGATTTCTGGGACTGGGTCACCTAGTAACCTGCTGATGATATTTCTTCATTCATTGACTTTGCGGGAGCCCTGGGTTTTATTTTTTTTATTACCTTTCTTTTTTTTTTTGGTTTACCTACGAGTTTACGCCCGCCCAGCTGCGTTCACTGTTTGTTTGGTTTTCTATTTGAGCACTAATTACATTTTAAATTATGTTTGCTTTTCTCCACAGTTGCAGTTTGCACCGTAACCGTGACTGACTTTTCCTAGCGAACAGCGTTGGAGAGGGCGGAAAATGTGGGGGGAACTTTTCCAACTCAGGTGCTGCAGCAGCATCATCTGCTTTTCGTTTGAAATATTTATATAACAAAGTTGCTGCAGTGCTGTAAATTGCTTTGCCTTAAAGAGATTGCTCTTAAAGATTGAAACTTTGTACGAAAGACCCAAATACACACATAACACTAACACCAAAAAAAATAAATACCAAATATCTTGAAATATTTTCCACTTGTGAATTCGCAACATGTTTCCCATTCGGCTTTACTTTTTCACTTATTTCTTTTCTGCCGCCTTTTTCGCGCCTCCCGCCGAAACATAAAAAATTTAATATTCGCTCGCAAGATGTTCTTCCGGCAAGAGTTTCCTTATTCCTGCAGAATGCTTGAAAAATTACTAACATAAAAATTAAAAATTCAGCAGCAGCTGATTGTAGAACAGAAAACTTTGAGCGGCCCACAGAGAGCAATAGACTGGGTGGGGGGTACGAATTTTCCAGGGGGTACGGGATGGAAAAGAAAAACCAACGAGGTGCCGTTGAAAGATGATCCATAGTCCCAGCACGGTAACAAAAATAGTTTTCTTTGATTCAGTTAAAACAAAATTGCTGCAGTTAAGATAAACTATTAGAAAATTATTTTTAAATAAATGGAATAAAAGCAAAAGGTTTACTAAAAGTAAACAAAAAGTGGTTAAAGTATAATTTATACTTGATAATATTTAAGCTTTTGATAAAAATAAAGGAATATCATTTATCTGTATCTTAATTGAAGCATATATACTAAAAATATTTTTAAAGTTTCTTGTTAATTTATAAAACACTAGATTTTCTTTTCAGTGTTTTAAAGAAGGATTCATATCCTTAGCCCCGTATCCTCTGTATGCTGACAGCGATTAAATGCGCAATATGCGCCATAAATGAGCCAAATAAAAGAAAAACTTCAATAAAACAGCATATATATTTCAAAATGTTTGCCGTTTTAGTCCTCCCAAAAGCTCCTTATTCTTTATATATGTATATCTTGTCTAGTCGCTCGAGTGGAATGGCATTTGGCGTCGTATCCTCTTTTTTTATACATTTTTTTGTCCCGGCAAATCAGCGAAGGAAAAACAACAAACGATGGCAAGCATTTGATTTGCAGAATTGACTGAGCATTGGAAAAGTGCCTGTAAAATTGGAAAATGAGAGCGAGCTCAAAGGGGAAAGGGCAGGATATTCGCTTGCTTTCTTAGAAAGTCCTTAAATTGAATTGGCAAAGTGTGTGTGAGTGCCAAGAGCAGCCAGCAAATGTCAGCCAGCGAATATGGCTTTTTGGCAACGATAATTGGATATGAGAGTGGCAATGCGAAAGTTGCCATTTTTGGCATGGATATTTTCGGGTCATCAAAACGATTATTATTATTTCATGGATATAGATATCGATTTTGGATGTGGCAGCAAATTGGGGCAGAGAATGAGCTAAAGTGCTTTAAAGGTTTTATTGTTGTGGGCAACTTGGCACAACTATTTTTGGGGCATGACAACTATGATTATTGTTATTATTATTGTTCTTAGCATAAATTATACCTTCTTTTTTAACACCGAAATAAATGATACATTTTCATTTCGTTGCAACATTTTAATGCCTGAATATTTTGTGAAAAGAACTCTTATCTGTACCTGACCCACTTTGGTTTTATCTTTCTGCTGCTCCCTTAGTTACCTTTCGCCACACCCCATAAACTTATTTAGTATTCCATTCTCTCCACTCAACTCTTTTTATCGCCCTCGCTGACTGCTCCTCCCCTATATTATGTTTCAACGCCTTCGTATAAAGTTTTATTGCATTTCCCTTACACATATCTTGCCACAAAGAAAAAAGGAATAAAATGTGAAAAATCTGTGACGCGAAAATCTTGAAATGCAAACAGAAATCAGTACAGGGAGCTGTCGCCAAAAAAAAAATGGAAGAACTAAAATGAGAGAAGATAAGTTGAGGGAAACTCGCTTGTAAAATGAAAACAATGAAAATTATGCAAGCGCATCAAGGAGAGCACTTGCAAAAAAAAGATAAAAATAGCACCGGGGATTCTGGGGAAGTTCCAGGGGATACGGGAGACACATAGGGGGCAGATGTCCACGGAGGCTGTGGCTGATGTCTGGTATTCTCCTGCCTCCCAACTCGTCCTTCGACCAGGGTCTCTTGTTGATATAGTTATGCAAATGCTATGCAAGGATGTCACGTCCTCCCGCTGACTTAAAGCCACGCACACATGGGACAAATACGAAGTGAGTGTGCCAGGGGAGTGGGGAGCTTTCCCCATCCCCTCTCCAGTTTTTGGTACACTCTAAAAATTTCAGGTCCTCAAGAATTTAGACCATTATAAGCAATATAAGGCTTATATCTATAAGGAACCTTCTCTTTACTCAGTTGAAGACTACAATTTTTTCAGATCCTATATCATTTAGTGTGACCATGTTTTTCAAAAACAGTATTCACCCTGAAAAATGCATATTATCAAAAGTTAAGAATTTTGACCATCAATATAAGTTTCCTATTTTTTATTAATTGTCCCCATACCCATTTTAAGACTTTACAACTTTTTTAATTCGTATATTAATTATTGGGACTATTTTAAAACAAAAACATGGAGTCCAAAGTGCTTTTGGCCACACTTAAAACTTATTTTGAAATATATGATCATAATAACTTATACAAATCTTGGGAAATGTTTCTTAGTAAATTTATAAAATATAAGACCTTGTACTTGAACCCCTATCCAAAATAGAGTCATTAAAATGTTTCGAGTGCACCTTATTTGTTCCGAATGTGTGTGCTCTGAGTCTGCGGCCCGTCCGCTGTTGTCCTTTTGCATTATTGCATATTATTGTAATTTCTGTTTACTATTTGTTTTTGGCTTTGCAACAATATTTATGTCTCCCGGGCCTGTCTGGAGGCTGCATAAATGTCATAAAAAAAAACGAAATCACAGCGGCTTGTTGCATAATGCTGAGTGGGTCAGCCGGCAGCCACGCCCCATAGTAGTGGTGTGCCATAAAAAACCATAAAAAATGTGCACATAAAAGTTTTTACTTTTCATTTGCATAAGGCTGAGAGATGGGGAAATACCCCTCAAAGTAATATTCTCTTTTTTTTATATGCATGTACGACTGTATATATATATTGTTATTCATATGCGCGTGTCGAGCATTTGCGTAAAAATTTAATAAAGCGACACTCGAAACTCGACACTTCCGCTTCGCTTTTCGCCCACTTCCGTTCCCCATTCCTTTTCGCAGGGTTGCCTTGGCCAGGAAATGGCATTTCGATAGGAGCGATGGCAACTCTGGTCGGCCATCGACAGCGAATTTTAAATTGCCCAAAAATATAGGAGTCGAAAATTGTTTTTCCCTATACTTATTTTTTCACCCAAAAAGGGATGTATCCATGGGTTTTTATCAGGCGACATCTCAGCCTCCTCCATCCCGTTTTTTCGCTGTTTATGTTTGTGATTTATTATTCAAGCAAGAAATTAAATTTTCTCTTTTTACTGCAGTCCAGCATCGAACTCATCCCCTTGCGAGCCCCACCTACAAACTGTCTGCACGTTTTGGCATCGCTTTGGACCCCCTTTAACCCCCTGTTGCCGTTCGCCTTTTCCGTTTAGTGCCTAAAATTTATTGTGTTGTTGTAGAATTCAATTACAATACAGACAAAGAAGACCAAAAAGCGGCAGAGAGACAAAAATCGACTTAAAACGGGGGAGTTTTTGGGGTCTTCTGGGGTGGAGGGATATGCAATGTTGCATCCTCAAATGTTTGCTTTCCATTTCCGAAGCCCCAATCATAAACTCAGTTAGAAATGCCTGATTAAAGTGAAATTAAATTCTGTCAGAACTGTCGTTTCGATATTTCTGGGAAATTTATTTTATGCTTGCATTGCTTAGATATTCTATTTCCTTTTTCCCCAGTCAAGTTCATAAAACAAATTAGAAAAGCCTTGTTAAGCAGAATTAATTTGATACCCAACTCATTTTAAGCCAGAAAATTTGTATTTTATAAAGGTTTCAGTAGCTTATTTGAATTAGGGTACTTGTTTTTTCCTCGATTTTTAAAAAGGGCAAAAGGTTTAGCATTTAAAATGAACAATTTATATTTTATCTATTCATTTTATCTTTTCTATTTAAATTTGCATTTAAATTGAACAATTTATACTGTGTATTCTATTCATTTAATCTCTTTTAGAGGTCTTAAATTTTATTTGTATTTTTAGATGATGCCTTCATAAATATTTATTTTCCATTTTCATATATTAAACTTACCAAGCTGAGCATGAATTTAGTTTAGCAACAGCATAATGAAATAATAACCAAAAATGTCAATAAATTGCTTAACAGTTTTCTCGAAATCCTTTTTCTACTGAAAATATCCATTTTGTCTTTGGTAAACTTCATATTTTAATGGCCACCCCCTTGTTTAGTATGCAAGATTTATAGTCGGCCAGAATTCAATTACGGCGATGACAACCTTTTTCGGACTAGAACTCAAGGCAGGACTCAAACCCAAACTGCATCCTTGAATCCTCGGATCCTTGAATCCTTGAATCCTTCGCTAAGCCAATGGGCTTGTGCAAATGTCTCAATATGACAATGGTGGCCCGCTGCGTTTTGTCATTACTTTTGGCTGTCGCCTGCACTCGTCCTTCCCCAGGACTCACTTTTATTGACAAAGGAATACGGATCCTGCGAGCACAACAAGCTCCGACTGCTTGACATCTATTTTAATGACATTCTGAAAGCTTTGGCGCATAAAATATGGCAATTTAAATTGCTGTCCGAAGAAAACTATTAAAAGTCTGGGATATTTCCGGTTGCAAGGGATGGGTAAAAAACGGGTTAAAAAGTCAAGTCAAGACAGGCTGCTGCTGTTGTGTGCAAATAAGAATATTCAAACTAACAGATTTGAGTGAGGGGAATAATAATAAAAAGCATTTTACCTTGTGGTTTGTTATTATCATTTTTCGCAGACTCTTGTGCTAAAAATAAACAAAATAGAAAGAAATGGAGGGAAATATAAAATTAAAAAAGTGTTTCATTCAAGCAAGCAGCAAAAAAGTTTGCGCAACTATAACTAGGTAAACAAGTATTAAAGTGTAGGGGGTAAAAAAGCGGTTAAAAGTGCATTCAAAATTATTTATGGCTTAACCCAGTAAAGCTCTCGTCTTTTTCTACCCACTTGGCCACTGAGTTTATCAAAATATGTTTCAGAATTTCATGATTTACAATCAATTATGTGTGTGGGGTTACGATGTTTACGAGGGTTTTTTGCCCTCTGAACTTTGTTGACAAATAAAAGCATAAATCGCGCGTAATAATTGGCCGAAAACAGGAAAAGCCAAGCCAGCGAAAGGAAAGCACATTTAATGGCTTATACACAAGCGCATTGGACATGGTCAGGAAAAGAGGACAATAAAAGCCAACAAAACAAGGAAAGTAAGCGAAGGAGCACATAAAAGTCGTTAAAAGATTTACTCTATTCCTGGTAAACACACTGTAAAAATAACTTTGATGGTACTCAAGAAAATAAATTATTTAAATTTGAAAAAAATAAAAAAAAATATTTTATTAGATACAAAAGATATTATTTACATTTACATTTTTAGGAAGAATGGTTATTAAAACCACTTCAAGAATACTCAACAAAATAATTTTATGATTTTTAAAGCAATAAAAGGTAATACTTAATTGAATTCAAAATATAATCTACATTTGTACGTGCTTTTAAAAAAATTGTGATTGTTAAATATTTTTCTGTGTGTTTAAAAAACACACTCTAATACGTATTTATTCCCATTTTCGCACTCTTCCTTTAGTACAGAACTTTTCTCGTATGTTTTCGATTTATATTGAATAAGGAATTGACATTTGATTAGAGATTTAGGTTTTTCTTCTGGGACTTGTTCTAGTTTTCGGGCGTGGAGCGTGTCTGGGATTTAAGCTCCTGTCCCTGGTGTTCATCACTTCCAATTACATTCTTGTTTATTGCCAACGAAAAAGTGCAGAAAAATCCTGAAGCTCCGGCAAATTGATTTGTGCGTGAGGATTATCATGGGTATTTTATGTCTGCTTGTTCAAGGATATTCCAAAACTCCTTTAGCTGCACACTTGTCACTCGATGGTGTGTTTAATTACTCAAACCCGTTCGGAAAACAATCGATTTCGGTTGCGAAAATCATTTTCCAATTAAGCAGAGGAAAAGGAAAACCCAAGTATGGCCAACGAACACGTACAAACAATTTTGAAAACGTGGCAAATTATTAATTGCTGACACCGAAAGTCCTTTATTTTTTCGGATTCCTGAATTAATTACCCACTCCGAATATTTAGTAACTCTATTAGTGCAGGAGTACGTGTAGAGAATGTGCCAGATTCAACACTTGAAACCCATTTTTGGACAGAGAGATTGCCACATCAATGGGTAAATCCCTCACAAAAGGCTCAAGACTTCAGCAACAGACATCGACCACTTTGATGTTTTGTAATTAAGGCTTACAAATCCTTCCTCGTTCGAACTTTTCCTCTTTTCCGCACTTTTCCACACGCCACATCCTGGCGAGACGGCCAGACAAACACACACAGAACTGTGTGTATTACTTAACAAATTACATACAAATTACTTTACTCCGTTTTCCTCATTGGGGGGATGAGTGAAACTTCCCCGCTCCACAAACAAAGAAAGTGGAAATCGCTAAGCGTTTATAGGGAAAACAAGCTAGTGATGGGAGTTTTCTAGAAGATTTATCAAAATAAAAAAGATTTCTTCTTTAATATCTATTATAGATTGACCAGATTCTTTATTAATTCCTTAGTTATCAAAAATATATCTAATATATCCAATGTCAAGTTTAATCTTTCATCAGAAACTCTACATTTTCATCTAAATCACGTCACGTTACCATCCCTAATATATCCTATATCGTTATATATATATGCCGACTTTCATGTCAAAATGTTTACTTTTGTTGGACTGGGAAGGAGGCTTCAACTTATTCTGCCTTCATTCATTCTTAGACATTTGTTTGTAATTCGCAAACAAAAACAAAAAACAATTGGCGGCTCATCATTCATCATGTCATGATGAGTAATTTTCGGGGTCTGGGGGATGGTGGCTGATGGAAAACATATGACAGCATATTTGTCTGAGAAAAGGCAACCCTTTCTTCTACGCAGACATTTAAATTGGCTAGGGAAGAACGCTTGGAAAAATCTCAGAGGCACCCAAAATGCCACGCAAAACTGACGTTGATGGTAATTAAAAGCGAGTGGTTTTCCTTTTTAAAAGGGTTGAGTGGCGTCGGCGGCAGTGTTGGCATGAAATGAAATTACTAACGGAAAATTAGCGGCATGGCACACATGGCGTATGCTTAATTTCCTGCCTTTTCCTTTGTCCTTTTTGTGTCCTGGCAAAAAGCGTGCAAGAGGGCGCTGGAAATTATGCTCATCATTGTGACACAATTAGCGGGGCGGCGAAAGCGGTAAAAGCTGCACCAGCGGCAGCAGCAGCGCCTTGCAACTTAACCCTAACGGATGTCGACGCGTCGCCCTGCGGTTTGGTGGCAACTCTGGTCAGAGGCACTGAGAGAAATTTTGTAAAAAAAAAAAGTCAACTAAAAGTTGTCTAAGCGCATAGCGCCTCGGAATTTGAGAAAATTTATAGCACATTTATTTTTGGGAATTAAATATAGTATTTAAAATAAATTAGGCACATTAACCAAATGGAAATGGTGCAAAAATTAAGTAAGGTATTTAAAAACTGTGCCATAATAAAGTGAGAATTATAACATTTTTTAAGCATCATAACAAATTTAGTTTCTTTTTAACAAAAACAATTTTGACAAATACAAATATGTTGAGAAACAGACTTTATAATACAAAATAGTGGAATACTTATGTATAAATATACATATTTAAGGAAGTTTTGAAAAGTAATAAATTCAATCGATCTATCTATAAATCTCATATGAAAACTATTACCGAAAAATACAATTACATTACCTTTTTTAATAACGCTATCCAAGTATTTTAATATCCTTTAAAGGATTCCATAATTTAATTTCTCAGTGCATTACCAGGAGACAGGAGAGGCCAGGATATGCTGGGCTAGGCCATTGCGCACACACTGCAATTTTGCCATTTTTCTATGAAAGTCATTTCATGCATGCGGAATTAGTTTATGTGCGCAATTTCAAAAGAAGTGCCACAACGAGGAAAATGGGAAGTGGTAGTGAGAAAATTTCACACTAAACGCTGGATATTATGCAACATAGTTGCCGGGTGTGAGGTGGTACCAAAAAAAAAAACGGGAACAGGAAGTGGAAATGCCTTCAAAATATTTTTAGGTTTTCCCACCCAGCCAAAAGGAGAACCAAGAAAAATTACCAACTAGCTGCTTTTAAATTGAACAACTAAGCCAATAAATTTCTTCCTCTAAGCCAGATTAATTCCAGCCAACTTCGCCTTGACCAAACATCTACGATCAAATTGATTTGTCACAAATGCTCCATCAGAGAAGATTTACAACCTCAATTTGTCGTTTATTTACCAGCCATTTTTACCCAGACTCTTAAGACGTATCGGAAATTGCACAATAGAAGTGAAATGAATTGATTTCTAATGCGATTCTCTGGCCACACTCACCTTTTCCACAGGTTAAGGGAAAAGGTGAAAAGTTTCGAGGACTAAAAACGTGGCAGCAACAGGAATCCAATTTATCTGCTGCAGTTGCAGCTCCTTTTTACCAGTCCTTTGTTGGAGAAAATATTAATAAGCAATAAAATGGATTTTTCCTCTTTTCACATCACCGTCGGAGATAAAGATTTATCAATAATATTTTTACAACCGGTCGTAAAAAAATTAAGGACCATGAAGCAGAGCTGCTTGAGTAATTGAAAATGCTGGCTGCTGGGCTTTCGTTTTAATTAACTTCAAAAGGTTTGTGCTCGATAAACAAGTCCCGGAGGCATATCCTCTTGTATATATGGTGGAACATCTTTGCCATCAGATTTCATCCCGGTTATTGGCCACTGATTTGCGGCAACTGCAAACAAAAGGCGGTGGGCGTGGCACGACTGCAATATATCATCCGTTGTTTGTCATTCCGGGCAGACGAAAAAAAAAAGAGGAGTGAAAAAAATGATATATACGCAAGGGCACAATACTCCCGAACGGAGTCTCTCGTCATATAGGAAAACGCCGTATTGTTTGCCCGCTGCGAATCGCTCAGGAAAATAGCAAAAATAGAGCAGAATCGCCGGGCAATAACACACCGAGCTATTGAGCGGATTGGGATTGAGGTTTCCACAAAGGACACACGTAGACAATTTTAGCCCACAAAGCGGGCAAATTCAAAAGAAATGTTTGGTCAGTAAATAGGCCTCGGTTTTGGTTGGGAGAGCACTCTGGGGATTGAAGTAGTACTGATTGATCTGCGGGAACTGCCTATGTAGAGAACCACTAAATACCCTTTAGTATTTACTCATTTACCTAATAAGTTGGGTATTTTGTACAACACTTTAAATTCCTAAGATATATAGGTACTTCATAATCCATCAATTATTATCAAATTAAGTTTTAAGCATTTTATTTTATTTTTTTTATTATTTTAAATTTTCTGATAATTTATACTATTTTAATCATGCTTCAACCAATAAACAAACCAAAGATTGGCTAATAACCTAAGTTCTCTATTTCCAATTCCCAGGAATCTGAAATCAATACCAATAGATCAAGTTCAGCGAATTAAATGCTACCAAGTATCGTCTAAGCAATTCTCTGGCATAAAATATGCAAATGAAACCGCACATTTAATGATAAAATAATCGACGATTGATGGAAACGTTATTGCAGAAATCAGAAACTCAGCTTGATTACCCCATTGCAAATTGACCAACAGCTATTCCTATTCCGAAACTCAATCATCCAGTGAATGCCTGTGCCCTCAGCCTCTGCAAACCCTCGATTCCCGTGCCTTTAGTCC